TGACGTTGCTGCCACTGTCGCCGCTTTCGCTCAACGACGAACAGCGGTAGGTGGGGCGATCGTCAAGTCATGTGGCTGTTAGTGGGGAAATCGACGTGATTCTTGTGATACCGATAATCGTAAACGTGTACGGTACACGTGGCTGTCCTCTGAATCAAGGGCGACGTACGTAGAATCGGTGAGGTCCGCGTTTATCGTCCACTTTGTCCTCATCCGCCTCGCGGATGCGGACACAACCTCCGTAATATGTGCCCACTTACCTTCGATGTACGATTAACAAACAAAAACAAACCCACCAATCACTTCGTTTCCCTCTCCGCTTCGAGATTATCCGAACTAGCCTTTTTCTATTCCCCCGCTCTGTTCGAAACTTTTTGATTACGTGGATCGGCAGCGACCTTCAACAAACTGTTATTCCAAACGTTGCCGCTCGTCCCCCCGTTCCCGCGTTCCTGTCCGCTTCTCGCTTCTTCTATCTCGCGAAACTCCAACGTGGGACTCCAATGTGCTGGTAACTCTCCCTCTCTCCAATCTCTCTTTCTCTCTTTCTCTCTTTTACTCGAACTCGATGATGGATGAGTAGAGTACGAAGAAACTTCGTAGAGAAGACGAAACGATTTCAGCCGTAAACGAACAGCATTTGGGAATGAGACGATGGAAACGGAATATCTAGAAATGTATCAGTTACGGACAAGATTATCGTACGGTGAACCACGCGGAGGAAACGCACTTAGACACCGGCCATCCGGTCCCCATACGATGGCAAGACAGTCCTCCGACAGCAGTAGCCAAATGGTTGGCCAGCCATTCAGACGTGGCAGGCAGTTATCGACCGAAAAGTCGGTCGATTCACGTCATCGACCGTTGCATCCTCGCTGCTAGCTGCATACCTAGGAAAATTTGTCGATGACGTAGCCTCGTGCTTGGTTCTCTGTCCCTCTTTCTCTCTCTCTCTCTCTCTCTTTTGCTCTTCTTTTCTTCGTGCACCGCTTAACTCATCCTCCGCCTGTCACTAACCAAATTCGGATCTGAAAATCGTTTCGGCAATTCAGATATTTCGATAAACGAGAACGACGAAAGTAAGAACATAATTAACTACAACAAACAATTTTTATCAGTAAAATACTACAACGAAGTAGAAGAATATTAAGGAAAATAGGAGCTGCAAGTAACGCGGGGAGATACTGACCAATACCTAGAGAGGTTGCATATTTCCACGCGTATGATCTTTTATACCTTCTATCGTTAATGCATTTAATAATATTTTTGTAGAGATCTTGAGTGTTAAATTATGTAGGTATTCACAGATATCGTATGTCCGAAAACAATTTGAACATAATCGAAAACAATTTCCAAATGGACCAGTCACTTGTCCCACGAGGCACAATTACTCCGAGGACGAAATACGCCAAGTCATTTGCCTTTCCATTTCCCTTACGGAAAATTACGTATTCTCGTAAAATTGCACCAGCCACGATCAAGGTTTAAATTACGGTCCAGTGAGGTAAAGAGAATAACTAAGACATCGATGTAAAACCATTGTTTGCATATCAATGAAGACTTAACTAATGTCCAACGAGCAGCGCCTATCTCTCTGATTACATTTTAATGGTTACGGTTTTACGTGCGACGTTAAACTATCTGGTTATATTATTTCCATAGTTTTATCCAATTACAACAAATTATCCAACGACCGTCAAGCTTACCGCGAATTAACAAACTTTGCGCCGCGTATTTTTGAGAATGAAGTTGTCGGTCGGTTTTTAGCGATTGCTTTTTTCAACTATCGCGTTTCCAACGGTCACGTATACGTAACTTGCATCATCCTTATGGGAGAGGAGTGCTCGAACGAATGAGATTTTTAAATGAAAAGAAACAGGATCGATAGATGTCGGAATGGTTACACAGCATACCGGGAAAAATGCATTCAGTGTGTAACTCGCCCTAATTTCCTTCGTACGAGATTTACTAAGGAAATGTGTGAATTTTCCTTTTCTTTTTCCCTTAACGAGCTTCAATAGCCACCGATGTGTTTGGAACTCTTAAGAAGAGAACTATTGCTGCTATTTCCTTTGTATTTTTATATGTCCTTCGGAAAAAAATTGCATTTTCCATTGACCACGTTTAAAACACTACCAATGAGAAAGAACAACTTATAATGCAGCTGTTGAAATGCATTAAAAAATTCGAATAAGATTAATAACGCTGTCATAATAACTTTGCTTCTTTGAAGAGTATTGTGAGAGAAATACTTTGTAAAGGTAATTTAAAAGATACAGAAAGCTTTTTATATAAAAAATATATAAAATAATAACATAAATTTATATATTAATTAATAATGTAAAGGTGCATTGTTTATGCTTATAGGATATTTTTTTAAATATTGCAAGGAAAAAATATAAGAGGAATTTAGAGTTGCTATTAAAATCACGTGGGAAAAAAACTTGAACAATCAAGTTGCATGAGAAGTATAGAAACACGCATCAGTCGTCCCGGACAGCTACGATTTCTTGGAACGAGAACCGCGTTCCCTGAGGAAATTGTACTTCTGGTGTAACACTGATCCCAATTTCTCTTTTTGGGGTAAGCTTTTATACGATGCAACATAAATTTTCGTTGACGTCATACATTTTCTTGCATACAATGTTCAACGAGTATGATAAACTACTGCGAAATTAAAATTTCCATTTAGAAAAAATTCGAAATTCAAACATCTACGTAACTGTCTCTATTCAATATCTCTTATTTTAAATCAATAGTATCAATAATATGTAATCGAACCGATAGTACTTCATCCTTAGTAAAGATTAAAACATTGATATTCAAATCCATTCTTTGAAAATTTTTTTTTTTTTTTTTTTTTTTTTTTTTGAAAGAATAAATACACTGTAGCATTGATATTCGATATTCCCTTTAAACATACTTCACATCATTCCACGATCTGCGCATATCTCAATTGCCAATTAATCGAATCAGCTTGCTTTTTACTGAGCAAATTGGAGTTCGAATTTCTATTGAATATTTCTCTAGTTAAAATTGCAATTGATCCTTTTGTATATTCCACGGCAAAGGATAGAGAAGATAAATCTTCGACTTATTTAGAAATGTAAATAATTGAGAAATATCTAAATCGAACGCAAGTTGAAAAACAATATTTGTAAACTGATAAAATTAGGAAACATATTCAAGATAGCGTGGTACAGTAGAAAGAAGTTGAAACACACAATGTTCTATTCGCAACTAATATTTCTCGCAAATGTCCACGATCCTGCGAGGATTCGGTATTCGAGTCGTACCGTTTCCAGCAATTCTACGGTTTCAAAGGACGAAATGGAAACGACTATCGCGCCGTATTATCGATGCATTTTAAAGGTCGCTAGGTTTCGTGAAAAAGAGCTCGATTTTCAAGCTGCGGTTCGCCTGGTTACAATTCGATAGAACGTTTACACCGCGATCAAGTGAAATTGCGTTTGTGATATTCGTTCCCCTCGAGTCAGTAAATTTTAAAGGTCTATTTTAAACATGGAAATACGGAGCACAGATTGCAACTAGTACAAACATTTTCCTCGCGTAGCGGCCTTATACCTAGAGGCTGACTCTTGATAAACAGCGAAAATAGAAGTCCTATTCTTCCCCTTTCATTTACGTTCCGTCTAACAATGGTTTTACGAGATCCTATCGATTGTGAATTAATTTTTTGAATAAATAAATCTGATAGATATTGGATAGAAATTTTTAATTAAAATGGCAGCCGGAAGTTTTTGAAATAATTGCGCAGCTGACGTAACGCTTATTGTTGGCTTTGAATAAAACTGTTTTTCGCATACTTGTCCTGAATTCTACTCGACTATATAGCATGCAGAGAAGAATCGTAAAGAAAAACTGAAGATTCGCATTATCGTCACGTTCGAGCGACGTTCCAGACGATTCAACTTCCGGGGAGAGGATATTGGTGGCCCTACAAATACACAACTTCGTGAAAGCTCTATTTTATGTCCGAAACAGGTTACATTTCCTCCCTATTTCGCTTCTGCTATTTCATCCACCAATATGAAAATGTAATTTTATTTCGTCAGAATAAAACAGCCAGTTTTTCTCTTGATTAAAATCAGAAAACGAAACGAAAATATAACTTTTTATTTCGTGAAAGTAAACCAGCCAGCTCTTAAAAAACCAATCATGAACAAAATTGATTCTTTGTTCGAAAGAATCGAATAAGATTCTCGTTACCGACAAATTTCAATTTTTACTTAGAACAAATAAGTTGAAAAATTCCTGGAAACTAGACAATTAAACTTAAACATCTGTACACGTGCGTTACTTACGCTTCTACACGCAGGGACCAGATATCCATTCAGAAAATTGTTAAAATATGAATTACCCCAAAAAATGCATAAGCGATTCACTCGACGCCGAATACATACATAAAGGTTAAGGTCGATGCTGACGATTGAAAATTCGAATTACTATATCTCCGATCATCGATTTTGGCAATGATATATCTCAAATACAACGGTATCTACACTCTAATATACATACATATACATTGTTCTCAAGGGACACAGTCATACTCAAATCAATACTCGCATCTTCTTAAAATTCGAACACAAAGATTTTCTACGTAATTTCACTTCTCCCTTTTCGTATTAACGCTCAAAAGTATCCGAATACTTACTTGCTATCTTTGTTAATTTTATTCTTCATGATCAACTTCATAAGAAGGTAATCAGTAGAACATCTAATTTACCAGTAATTTACACATTTCCAAAAAAAAAAAAAACTGCATATACCGCTAGTATACACATAATTCCACAGAAGTGTTCGAATACGAATAAAAGTATATATCTTAGCAAGAAAAGGAAGAAGTTTCTCTGAAAACTCTAAGTCTAATTCAATTATCGTTTCCAAGCGTTCTTCTTTTTTCTTTTTCATCCTGTATCTCTGCCTCCATTTACAATTACTATCCGTGATCGCTAATCCGCTAATCCGCTAATCCGAACCTCTGTCCACATAAGAATTATGAAAATTACCGCGCTATGAGAGCTGACCTGGCCAAGTATCACGGCATTACGGGCTCAAAGAAGGAAGAAGCGAGCAGCAGACTTCCGGAAAAAAGAGTCCGCGATGCATTGGCTAGCTAGCGGTCCACTGGAACATCTACTTCATGCCCCGAGGAAATTGCATTCTGCGGTCTTCCTCCTCCACTTCCGCAGTGGGTGCTCCAGTGATAAAGAGAGAATAAGAGCGGCTGATGTGGTAGAGGACAGCGTCAGAGAAGTGAATCAAATTTAAGCCGACTCCCTCTCCGCTTTCGTCTCTTTCGTTCTATCTTCGACCCTTCGTTATTATCGCTTCGTCTTTCGTTCTGACCACGCCACTGTTACCCACCATTTTCCTCCGCCGCCCTTTCCTTTTCTCCCTTTTTTAATTTTCAAACAAAGTACGCGAAAACCTTTCTACTCGCAGTGGAAACTGTTCGAACGGTCCACTGTCGCGTCGCGTCGACCTGGCAACCAACAAATGGAAAGAAGAGCCGAACGCATACACATGCCATGCCAACTAAATGGAAACGGACCAGGCTGAACCTCTTTGCCAGGTAATAATCGGCGACCTTTGCCCCTCAACGAGCCTCTGCCTACCTGCCTGCTACGTGACCGAGTTCTCTTTCTCCAAAGAGCACCGATTTTTACGCACGGTCGATGTGTATCAGCCGGCGGTTACGACAAGGAAGCTGGCTGCAGTTGCAGTTCACAAAAATTTCTCTAGCACGACGAAGGTACGCATCCGAAATAGGGATAAAGGCATAGATCGATGGTTCAATCCTCTACTCCAATTGAGAAATTCTTGGTTTTCGACAAGGTGGTCCTAATATATTGTGGATAAATGACGAGGTATTTAGACTTTCATATCCTACCACTAACGACTATTGGTGAGACATATTTTCTCTTTGCGTATCAAGAGCAGTTGTTACTCGATAACAAGTGATAACAGTCACATGGTTTGTTTTGTGAATTAATTTTTCAAATCTTACTGTCCTGAATTCAAACTTAATGATACTGGCAAAAGAATTAAGAAGATTACAGAAATATTTACGAGAATTTTAAGCTCTTTTTTATATAATTATATGCACATGCAAATAGAAACAATACTAAATCGTGTATTTCTTGGTAATAAATAATGCATGAATTGTAGATTCATGATACTTGTTAAATATATTTTCCAAAAATAAACGAATAAGTACATTCCAAAACATATTTTTTGAATCCTATAATTCCCTAAAATTCTCATATGATACGTTTTGTGTGTAAACACTAGTCAATACACGTATAACAGGAATATTGTGTAACATATTCTGTGACTCAATTATAAAACGACAAATCAAAAACTTCATATGAATAACCTCTTCGCTTGAAATATGCAAACTCTCGTTCAATGTTTTCAAACATTCAAATATGCCTGCTATGTTTTGCAACTGTTCTTCGGTACATCACATATGTATAAGGACAGATACAAACAGTTTAAAATAAAAGTGACATGTAACGCAACATACCAATCGATAACAAAGGGATCAACCACTAAAAACTCCAAATATATTTTAAAATCCACCGTTGAATAGCAGATAACTTTCTTGCGTGTTTCGAACAGACTAATTGCGAGTCGAAAAGACTAGAATATTTAATGTGAAGAAAAATAAATACCTTTAATGCGTCGACACTTTAAAAATTTTCCGAGTGACGCCTAGTTATGCAATGTTGATTATCGCGGACAAAAGGAATGGCAACGAACCGAGGCATGCAAGGGCCTTTCTCGTAACAGGAAATACTCGGGGTCACGGACTGCCATGAAGTTTATACCGGTGTGGTTCTCGTGCAACGAGAACACGAGACGCGCAGAAAACCGGCTCGTTCGACTCACTCGTTAAGATAACACGACTCTATACTCCAAGTATAATTCGTGCGACACGAGACCAAATAAAAATTCAAACTATTACTTTATCGAAAAAAAAGAAGCGCGGTACGGACAATGGCCAATCTCCAATTGACAATAATCGTGCGCAGTGCTTTACCACGCAGCGTCACTTTATTAGTTTCGATAATCGCAACCGCGATATCGAACCGCGTGATTGAGATCGTGTTTCCTCCATGAAACATTGAAACACGACGTTTGAAAGTCAAACACGGTTGTCGAATAATCGTCGTCTCTATAGAGATAACATTACAATAAGAATCGGAAGATCATCCACTCTAGTACGACTTGAAATACGGCCGAGGAAACGTACTGGCTGCTCGCCGTGGTGGAAATAAAAAAAACGTAAACAAACCTGTCCGCGTGTCGACGCGAGCCACGTAATAGACGCCATTGGTCTGCATCGTTTTATATATATAAACGCACGAGGAAATCATCGTGCGATTAAAACTGTACGTTCGCGGAATCGTGGAGAAGAATGGGTTGGAAACGAGACACGACTACACGTGGGCAGAAGCACGCCCATCCCGCCACCGGGAAGCAGCGAAAAACGACATTCGCGCAGCAAAGCTGTCAAGATACGTTCCCGTATCGTGGAAAGATGAACGCGACAAAATTGCACGCGTATACATAGTGCGTACGTGCGCGCACAGTCAGTTATACATATCGCAAGACGAGCTGCTAGTTGCACGACACCATCTCAAGGTAACAGTCCCCGGACACGCGTTTCGATACCAAAACGAGGAATTTACGGAGTGTCGCTAGGACTGACAGTTAGCGAGGATGTTTATTAATAGATTTCACTCACGATTTCAGCTGGTATTCCTGTAGCTTTCCTTCAATCGAATCGGGGACTGTGCATCTGGTGCTATTGGTCTCCGTGGTTGTCGTGGAACCGTCGATGTCGATATACGGTCTCGTCGTGCACGGAGAGATACTCCAATCGAAGCGAGGAATGCGGAAGATGGAGAAACGGGGATAGCACCGCACAGTTGCACAGCCTGGGAAACACGCCTCTCGTACCGTCAAACGAGAATGATCCACGATTAGTTGCCACGAAACGGAACTGAATCCACGATCGTGACACGTGTAACGTGTATGTAGAACAAACCGCGTGCAGTCTTTATACCGTGTCACCGTCGACGCGCGAATGTTGGATCGTACAACGTCATTCCTCGTTGCGATCTCATCCCCACGACGAAGCACGACTGACTGACGGCTCGGTCCGCCAGTCCGTTCCGATCTTCCCCTACCAG